ATCCGGGGACGGAATGTTCGAGCTGGGCAAGCAGTTCTAGCAGATATCATCAATATTATGAAAGATTTTATTCAATATTTTATACGAGCAACTTTAAGTACTGACAAAATTGAAAGAGTATCGTTGGTGCAATTGGCGAACGAATACTACAGCCGCTTTCATGCTGCATCCTCAAGCTTAATAAATGGTTTTCAATTAAATCACCAGGTTCAATTGATTCCAACTTCGCATAATAATAACATCATTCAAACCGACCAACATTCTTCATCAGTGTAACGATTAACTAGATTAGAGTAGCTTGTGCCACTCTCGGCAAAGATGTTTATTAGGCTACTTCAAGTTATCCAGAGTGTAACGACAAAACTAGAGAGTGCCGCCTATGCCCGGCGGCATGATGGTGTATTGTGTCATCTGACATCTTCAGAGTGTAACAGCTCCATACATAACACACGTGTATATATATATAGGAGAGAGATAGAAGAGAGACAGGAGAGATAGATATATTAGAACAATGGAAAGAGAACAGAAAGAGAAGGAAGGAGAATCGCCGAAGCGTGCCATCAATATCGACACAATCGGTATACAAATCAGCACTGGATTTTAAGTAGAACATCGGATTTTAATGTACTCGCTAAAGCTTTCTTTTCTGCTTCACAGAATTATTTATTTAATCTCAGAGATGAAGCTATGCACCGGCTGAAAACTTGGGATTTTCCAACTAAAGATCAGAAATTAGTACTACCTCTGTTAGATGAATGGTACACACGTAGAACCTTGAATACAGTCTTAGAAGAATGGGAAAATGTTGAAATGGCTTCCTTACGAAACCAAAAAGAATATATAAAGATTTTATGCTATAATGTCGAAGGTTGGGACACTCGTGCAGTTGAAGCTATTGATTTAGTGAATAAAGTTCAAGCTTCTATTTGTATATTTACAGAAGTAGGAGAGTTACCCAGGTGCATGACTCCAACAGCGGATCTTATCGAGTCCCATGAGATCCGACTCATCGGCAGAAACCGATAGGATTCCTGGATATGGACCTTTTGTCGGTCCCGACGGAAAAAATAATTTTCTTATTCGCGATCAAATAAGCATTTTGAGGCATCAGAGTGTAAAGGTGATTCGACAGAGTTGGATTCCGTTAAAATCCGACATCGGATCTGATCTGATCGGATCCAATACCAAGGATCCGACTGTAGGTCCGTGCTCAGGAATCTTATAAGACTTCGTCGGTTTTATTGAAACACATATGATATTCGGTATATTCACTGTCTGATCCTTGTCGGAACCCGATAGGATCTTACTGTCGGAATGATTCTCCTGGGTATGGGACACATGTCGATGACCAAATTTTAACACGCTCTATCAAAAGGGTACTAACAAGAATGGAGGAGTATGCATAGCAGTAGGGAAGCGTCTGAAAGCGACGCGCATCGAGATTAACATTCAGAACACGGCTATTATTGATATAACAGGACTATCGGGGCCAGTACGTATCATTAGCCCTTACTGGCCCACTAATCAACAGCGTGGTCTAGATAAAATTCAGCCGTATGTAATAGAAGGTACCATACTATCAGGCGACTTTAATGCAACAGTGAAGGAATGGAATAGTCCAATAACTGATAGGAGAGGTGCGTGCGTGAGAGAATGGATAAATGAAAACAATTTCAATTATATTACGTCAACGACCAACACGTTTAAGCGCTCCCTACGCAATATAGATTTGCAGTTCTCTAATATGAGTACTATTTCAAGTGAAACATTATGTTTTGGCACGAGTGATCATTGGTCGATTTTACTATCATGCGAAAACATTCTTTTCTTCATATAAATTGGAAGGTATTTGAAGCAGTATTAGCGCTATTACAAATATTCTGGATGAAAGAACAAAAGAAAAATAGTTCATATGAGTGGTATAAGCAATATATTCGTTTCATCGCGGCTGTCAAAAACAAAGTAACTCATTGGCAAGAGAGAGATAAATATAAACCATCGTTACCGGCATATATCATCGAAAAATTAGAAGAAGTACGACAAGTGAGAAATAGATATTTTCATTCAAAACATAGAGGAGTTTTTAGTGGCGAAACGAGGGTGCTTTTACGCACAATGACAAGAAAATCAAAAGTTGATATAGCAGAACATAAAAATTCTCAATGGCAAATTTTTTTATCTAACTTTCAAATGTCGTACGAAAAATCAGATAAAGCGTTTTGGACACACTTATCTCGCATATACAAATCGCGTTCGCTACCTTTCTATAAATTATCTGGTGGCACTAAAATAATATCAAAACAAGAAGGAACCACAAACGAATTATTTCAGTACTACAGTGAACAGTTCAAACTACCTGCAGTGGATTGTTTTAATGAACACGAAGGCCAGATAGATAGGAAGTGTAAAGAGTTGGTAAATAGATTATCAGTGTTGAATGATAGCGTAGAAAAAATTAGCACTGCCGAAATTACTCGTACAATTAAAACATTAAAGTCTAAGAAATCAGCAGGTTTTGACTCCGTGTCAAACATTATTATTAAAATACTTTTTTCACGTTACATCGAGTGCTTAATTAACTGCTTTGATACATGGTTAAACGAGTGTCGTTATTCAGATGACTGGAAAATTGCAAAAATCATTACTCTAAATAAGCTGAAATCGGGTATCCCAAAGTGTGAGCAAACCCGTCCAATTTTTTTGGTAGCTACCCATTCAAAGCTGTTCGAAAAAAGTGTTCTTACTGAGAATTAGACAATGGGTTGAAACAAATCGTTTAGTACCGCCAGAACAATCTGATTTCCACCCAAAATGTCTTCTACCAACTCGAGTATTTTCGATGTAAATCAGAAGTGAAAGGCAATATGGCAGCTAATATGCCGATACTTGTCCTATATGTCGATTACCAAAATGCTTATGATCGTGTATGACATGGCATGGCATGCCGCTCTCCTTTGTAAACTAGAAAAAATGGGTATGCCTCTCAACTTATTGAAAATGACTAATAGTTGGTTAAAAGAAAGAAAAGCTTACGTAGAATATGGTAAAATAACTTCGAAAATATTTAATATAAATATAGGACTTCCGCAGGGTAGTAGTCTTAGTCCGTATTTATTTATAGTGTTTCATCCAGATTTAAAAAATTATCTAGGAGCTCATTCATGTCATCTATTTCCAGATGACCTGTGTGTATTAATTAAACCTCCAATAATGAAAAAATTAGGCTCGACGATTGACTACTTAGAAAAAAGAAGGTACAATAGTTTGTAATCAGCTTTTTATGTACCCAAAAAAGTAGAAACAATCGTTAAATGTTTCTAAAACTGTAGCACAATTATTTCATGCACAAGTTAAAAGACCGATCCTAGACATAATAAATGTGGAAACTTCGGATTTCATCCGAGAGTTATGTGTACTGCAAAAAGTGCATGGGACATGTGAGTCATTCTGGAATGTCTGAACACCAAAATTATCATGAGGAACTAGGCAATTTGATTTCTGGATGTAGCTTTTTGTGCATTTTGAGACGTTTTTCAAGCGATGTTTCGTTAGAAATCTACTACTTAGTTCAAAACTAATATCAAGTTTAGAATCAGCGTTAAAAACTGAGTTGATTTATATATGTTGTGGATAATTCTGAGAAAAAAAGTTGCTTTTGAAAAATCCCTGTACTTCCCCTCACGGATGGTCTGATCAAAAATGACAATTTTTTTGATAACTCAGCCATTTCTTGACGGATCCTTCTCATCTTCAAACTGGACCTAGATATTCATGAGATTGAACTGTATGGAAAATTTCATTACGATCTGACTCTCCTTTCGAAAGTTATCGTGCCTATGGACGGCCGGACGGACACTCTGACCGATTCTATAGTGTACTCACTTTTTTTTCAGTACACAACAATAGACGGTAACAAAATCGAGTTAGCCAAAAAATACAAATACCTAGGATTTAATTGGACAGATAAACTTTTGTCGAAACCAACAGTCGATAAAATCATAGGAAATATTCAGAGATCGCTAGGAAAACTGAAATGGATAAAGTCTGGTCGCAAAACGCTATGTAGAGCGCTTCGCCAATGTTTCTTCGCGTATACTTTTCCGCATTTCGCGTGATTATTCCAGCTTTTTCCTCTCCTCCCAGAATCTCTACTACATGTATTAGAACAAAAATTCCGTGTAGATTTTCGGTTGGTGCATCGCTGTCCCTTTGTTTCTGTGCATGATCGGTTGAAAGTAACTTCTGAGCAGCCTTCATAATTTTACGTTAAGAAAGATATCCACCGCAGATTGAAAACTATGCTCATAACTGATCTTGATTTTTCAAACTTCTATGAAGAGGAATTTGGCTGAGATAATTTTTGGAAAAGGAAAAACGATCAACTTGTTCATTTTTTTCGCCCGCATCGTGTGCGACAATTGAAAGATCGACACGAATTGTTCCTTTTAACGTGGTTGGTTTTTGTTGATACGAATTAATATCACAGAAAGATGCATAAATGTAATGCTTTACGCAATTTTCTTCTTATTTTCCCTTCTTCCTTTTAGTAGTTCACTCTCGATTCAGTTCTCATTCTCTCTTCTTTCATTTATTTATTTCTTCTGACATTCGTTTCTTTTAGTTTGTTTTTCTTCTTTTTTTCTAGCTGTTTGCTGTACTCACGTATCTTCGCTGCCGCTTATCATTAGTACTGCTCTCTCTCTCTCTTCTTTCTTACACTTTTTTATTTGGGGATGTCCCCGATTCGGTCCTAATTGATAATATGTTCTCTCAATTGCGTCCTATCACTATCAGGCCCTATCTCAGTTGGGTCCTACCCCAGTTCGGTCCCGTAACTATTTCTCATTTCTATTTAAATAATATTAATTAAAATAATTTATGATTATATATCAAAGAGAAGAGAATAATTTATATAATAAAGAATAACAAGACAATTAAAAAACCTATTAACATATAGAACGTATAGACATTGATATTAATTCAAAAAATTTGTTGTTTTACTACTTCTTGACTAATTTTGTTTTAACAACTTTACCACATTGAATTGCTAACTGTAGATCTGTGATTTGTCGGTTACTGTGTTGATTGAGAAGGGCGAGAAGTTGAGCATTAGCATCTTCGGTCAACTTCACCCGTTTGGGTGCATGGATTTTTGATTGTTCAGAGTGGTGATGCTGAAATATATGTTCATCACATAAGAGCTCAATAAATCTAAATATATGTGGATGCGTGGGGAATAATGTACCAAGTCTACTGTTATATCCTTCAACGTGGTTGTTTGTTCTTGGTAAATTATTCACCACAGCATCATTCACATTCCATAAGTGAATTGGATAACGACACGAACTTGAATCAACATACGTTGAAACCAAGTAGTCATTAAACTTAACACTTGAATGATGATGTGGCGTACTTTCATCCGTATCATCTGTCCATGTTCTTTCGACTAGATGTTGTGGAATCAGAGCAAGACCAATAGCACATAAAAACCAATCATTAGCTTTTTTTTTCTCATCACTTGATATTCTAGTTGACGTTTTTAAATTCGAAGGATTAACGCAACGAATAAGTCCTAATTCTTGAACCTTTCTCCAAAGTGATTGGGAATAGTGGAAGAAACAACCAGCTACATGAACAGAAGGAAAAACTGTTCGGAAAGCGTTGATCGTTGCTAATTCATAATCGCATGTAATGCGCTTTGCGTTAAGAGAAATCCCTTTTTTTGTGCAATTAATAACAGATGACGTAGAATCTTAATATAAATATTTTTATCTTGCTTTGCTGTTAAGCAATACACGCATGGGATCATCATGTTATTAAATCCAAATATAATATGCACCTGTGAGAACAATAGTGGTCGACATTTAAATGTTCCATCAGAATGCCATTGATTGCAGCTGCTTAAGAACTGCACACTCCAATCTGAGGCGAACATTAAAAGTCGATCTTTACCATCTAGGACAAAAAATAAATACTTCAAGGTGAATAAAAAAGAATTCTTACAAATCTCATCTATGAGAAGAAAAGGTTCTCCATTTAAGCCGACTTTCCATCCATCTGGAATAATAAGTTCACCAATTGCTTTTGGCAATTTAGGATAATTCTGAGCACGTTTCCGATATAAACTTGAATCAATGCTATTTAGCAATGGAAAGAATGTACCAGTATCCATAGTAGGATTATCAACACGAATTTTTATTATTTCTTGGGAATATATTTGAGGAATAGGAAAGGTCTCTTCCATAGCTCTTTGTTTCATACGTGTAACAGCTTCTTCAACAACAACCTTTTTTTGTAAATTAGGTGCGCAGATATGCACCCCTGGTTCCCGAATAATTAATTTATTATCACGACATAATGATAAAGATGTTGTACATGGTCTTGCACGACAACGCCATTCATTGCTATTTTTATATTCTCGCTTATTAGTACATTGAAAACCTTGGTAATTGAGGACAAGTGCACTGCGACTTGTAGTTGTAAATTGCATGTTAATTATAATATTTGTTTTATATTCAATAAATGAACGTTAACAATGAGTGCTGATGCATTATTTAGTTTAAGAAGGATTATCACAAGAATTTATTTTAACCAATCATAATTGCAGAATGAATTTTTTAGATTAAAAGAGGATGAGTATGAACATTACGGTAGGGTTATTATATTTATTTTTATAAATCACGAATAAACTGATAGGGACCGAACTGAGATCCGACCGAACTGGGCTAGGGCCCAACTGAGATAGGGCCTGATTGAGATAAGACCCAACTGAGAGAACATATTATCAATTAGGACCGAATCGGACCGAATCGGGATACGACCTTTTATTTGAGTTTTCATTTATTTATTTTCCTAATATCCCTACAAGCAAAAATTGGTACGCAGCATAATATATTGTTGGCACAAATTGTAACGCGTTCCCATGGGATAAAAAATTAAGATATATTCGCTGCGAAACGCGTTAATGCTGACCGATTTAACGTGTTTCGCAGCTTTTCGTTTATACATCTATATTTCTCTTTTTCTTATGTAAGCACCTTCGAGTGTTACATTCACGGTATAATAATAATAAAATTTTAAAAAAATGAGAATGAAGAATTTGAAATAAATAAACCGATAGAGCTTTAATGAAAGAAGATGAATTTTAATTAGAGAAAATTATGAATAAAGATGAAGTAAATAACGAGAAATAAAAAGGATGAATATTTAAATTTCCAGCGTCGGTAAGTAAAAAAATAGAGTAATTTAAAAAAATAAGAAGCATCAAAGCAGAATATCAATAACGGTTCTGTCCTTATCAACTCTACTTCGAATCTTGAAAAACATCTACGTTCTTTTCATGAAATCTTCTGAGGTTTCTATATTGTTTGCACTATTCACACTATGATTTTATTTTGTGTATTTGAGAAATTTTTGATAAAAAAATATGATAGCCTCTATTAGCGATATACTTTTGCGTAACGTGACATTGTTGTAATGAATTCAAAATAAAATTGTAATTGAAGGTGAATTTTTAGTAAAATGAATTACTGATTGTTTATATATTGAAGTTGATCGAAGTCAAGTAAAGCAATTAATTTTATTCATGAATTTATCGACGGAAGACAGAAAGAGATACAATCAAGTCAATGGCACTGATACAAAACCAAAAACATCGAAAATGAATATCCCAGGTGAATGAATCCGACAGTATTCACTGTCGGATCTTATGGGATCCGACAAGCCGACAAAATCTGATCAGATTCCTGGTCACAGACTTACTAACGGATCCGACGGAAAAAGGTATTTTCTTAATCACCAATGAATAAGCATATGGTGCTAACAGAACACATGAGTCGAATGTTTATGTTGGATTCCGTTGAATTCCGACACTGAAACTTATCGGATTCCAACACTAGGGTTTCGATTGTAGTTCCCACGTCCAGATACCGATAGCATTTCGTCGGTTTAATGAAATCTATAATATATCCGATAAGATTTCGGCACGAATCCGATAGGATCCCACTATCGGAACAAAATCCTTTCAAGACTAATGAGAAAACCAAAATAATAATTATGATAACTGAATTAAAACTCAATATATAATCAATAGAATGATCTATTTTTTCTTCATGAACCCTTTTTTAAATTTAAAATAACAAATGGTGCAAAACTATTTGTAGGAATATCGAAATTTATTTCTCAACAATGTAAAATTGAAGGGAATGGAGCATCTTTTGTTTACAAGAAAAAAGTTTTTAGAGTGTATAATTAAAACAAAGCAAAAATGTATACTTTTTAGTTGCAAGCGTTTTTAAAAATGGCTACCGTTCCAGATGACTGCAGGGATGGGTCGGTTGGGAAAAAACCATTTTCATAGGATATTATATCCATCGACCAAGTTCTAATGATTTATTAATATTTTTGCACATTAATTCTAAAGAATCACTCGATTTTCATCAAAAAACCAAAAGAATTCGATAACTTCGACAAATATTCCAACTCGTCCCATGAATCATTGATGTCTTCCTCAATTCTTATGACCTGTGGACACTTCTATTAGTTTTTTAAAATTCTTCTATGCAGAGCCTATGCATTTGAGTTCTATAATGAATGAGCAAGTATTACCTAACGTTGTTCTGTTTTTGCTAAATTTCACTTGATTACACTAATCTTGAATAAGAGACTAATTCTTACACTTGGTCAATTTCAGAAACGTACTCACTGCTAGATGTATTATTTTAGTTTTAAATTTTCCACATAAATAAACTTTACAACATTCATTTTGTCTCGTTATGAGAAAAACGGAAGAAGGAAAAATAACTACGACATAATCAATGCGATCATTATAATCAGTTGTTGCTTTATTTTGCCATTTTTCGCCTCTTCCGTTCAATGGTGTTCTTTCTTTTGCTAGTTTCTTACGCCCTCTTGGTTTATAAATACGCTCATCAATTCAGCATTTCAGCATCAACTAAAAATAAAAGCACTATTTCATTCTAGATACATCATATCGTCTATTTATCTTAAATTAAATTTTTTAAGAACACTGACCATGGTTTCAATGATGAATTTGGTTCAATTTATGATTTCAATCACAAGTATAGTTTTTTTTCGTTAAAATAAGTACGCTATTTTTTTATTTGTTTCGGAAACTAGTCCTTTTTTGTTGTCAATATCAAGCAGCAATCATCAGTGACGACAACCATGAAATGAGTGATTCGGATTTTAATGATAATCGTCATGTAGTATATCCCAGTGAACAAGATCGTATTTATCATCAACTATTTCAACGAGCATCACTACGTTATCATCCACATGTTCTTTATAAAAAAGCTAGCCTCAAACCAATTATTGGTTATAATGGAAAACTTATATTAAATGATCGTGATGATGAATGAAGATTTTGATATTCAATGATAAACTAGTTTACATGCTTTACTTCTAAAGAACATAGAATTCAGCACGAATCTTGAAATAAAATAATTACACTCAGACTTTATTTTTTTCTCCATTGTATTCAAAACATAGAGACAAAGACTTTATATACTTGTTGATATCAATCTTTTATCAACAATCGACTTACACAACCATCATTTCCCCCAGATATCGATAGATCATGGAAGGCTATTGTATATAAATTACATTGGAAATGCATAAGATTGAATGAACATTTATAAGAAAACTATTATAGGAGAAAGCTTAACAGATTTCATAAAAAAATATTACAAATTTTTTTGTATTTGAAAAATGAAATTCTGATAAAATGAGATCGTGACTGACATAATGAAGAAAAACAAACTAACACCATGCAAAACAAGTTCACAAGTATATGTCCATCGATCATTCTTGTTTGTCTTCATAAGTTTAATGATGCATTTTCTAGGCTATTCAATAAAAATTGCTAGGTTTTTTCTTAATATTTTTATTTATTGTATATTTCCTATTTACTTGAATTTAGCCAACAATAAGTTAATAGTAATATCTATCTCTTCCATGATTCTATGCAAAAACTATTACTATCGGTTCGGATTAAAAGGAAATTTGAATGCATATATACCCAGAGGAGTATTCACTTATCTTGATTCAGTATGATCTCGTTGATATAGAAACATTTCGTAACATAGACAAGACAGAGTCAATTCGACGACATGTTGAAAATCGATTTTGTAACTCTCAATCAATACATTTTAACAATCTTATGTGCTTTTCGACAGACATTGGTATTAACTAAACATTCAGAGTGGCTAATAATGAAAAAATACTAAATAGTTTTTGCTCAAATTCATTGAGAAAATGTTCCTACTTCTCTAGCACTAATGCTAAGTCAACACCTGTAGAAGCTGCGAAAAATAGTTCAACAATCCGAGATTAATTTAGGAGTCGACAAGAAAAGTGTATTTGGTTAAATTTGATGAGTTTGATTTTCTTATTCTACAATAAAAATTCATTTATCATTTTAGAGATAAATTAATACGAGAACAATTCTTACTGATAGATATTCTCCTAACAGCATACTCAAATAAATGTGGAAACTTCGGATTTCATCCGAGAGTTATGTGTACTGCAAAAAGTGCATGGGACATGTGAGTCATTCTGGAATGTCTGAACACCAAAATTATCATGAGGAACTAGGCAATTTGATTTCTGGATGTAGCTTTTTGTGCATTTTGAGACGTTTTTCAGGCGATGTTTCGTTAGAAATCTACTACTTAGTTCAAAACTAATATCAAGTTTAGAATCAGCGTTAAAAACTGAGTTGATTTATATATGTTGTGGATAATTCTGAGAAAAAAAGTTGCTTTTGAAAAATCCCTGTACTTCCCCTCA